GTATATATATATCAGTAGAAAATAGAATTAGAGACACTAAAATTGTACAAGTGAAAAATGGTAAACATCTGAATTTACACACTGACCATACTGGAGAAAGAGAGACAATATGGTATACGCATTGATAGCCTATTACAGACAAGATAATGGTTCAAGGGACAGGAGACTCATCTAGGAACACCATGACAAGACCAAGCAGGACACACACCCTTCCTGGGAAATGCCTTGACAGGCTTGTATGTAACAGGTCCCTCAAAGCAAGTCTGTCAGCGACCCTGGGGAGAAAGAGAATGGCTTCACAACACTCAGAGGGGTAAAAGGCGGGAAACTTCCATGAGAGCAGGGTGGAGGACGGAGCTTAGAAGTGCAGGTGATGTCCCTCAGCAGTTTGAAGGGGAGGCTCTCAGTCTCTGAGGGGCTCATTTGCCAGAGTAAAACAGACCAGAAGTAAAAGAGTATAGGAAATGGACAAATCTGGTAAGAAATAAAATAGAAAACTACTATGAACACTAATACATTTCCCTAAAATAGAAACATTTAGTTTCTTTCTTTTATAAAATGAAGGTTGACCCACAGTATACAAGAGGCATTCTAGAACATTAAACAAACAATGTATAAGCAAGTGTGAGACTTGAAAAAAGGTTACAGGTGTGGTAAAAATGATCTAGGCATACAAACTGTTTCTGCCTGTCTGTATTTGTCTGTTTGTCTCTGTTTCTCTCCCCCACACACATAGACAAATTTCATTTAAAATTTTTATTCACACTATTAAATAACTGGCACCACTGTACAAAAAATTTGAGCAAAGATCTAAGTGCAGGCAGGACGTAAAGTGGAACATGGAATGCATATTTCTCTTTTGTCCAGGTGCATTTTCTGAAGCTGGATAAACAGCTTTGCTTCTCATGGTCTCTGCAGACTTGGGAGGCAGAAGAAGAAAAAATGATATATCTCAAGTAGGGATAACTGATACTGTCAGAGGAGATACTGTATGTCCACTTTAAACTGCAGTTTTAGGTAAGTAATAAGAACATGTTCTGCACAATTGTGCAGCATGGAATATTTTGCTATATCTATACCCAAAGTGTGCTTACTGGAAATTTAATTTTAACTGAGAATTCTTTACTTTTACTTGCATAAAATATCAAACCTAAGAAAAAGAGACTTTTCTCATGTTAAGTTGGAAAATCCTGGACTTTCTTTTACCTCCAAAGGACCTTACAGAAAATTTCCTTGACACTTAACAGAGGGAAGAAAATAAAACTGCTGATTAGTTGTGAATTTTAAACGTCTTCCTGTATAGAATTGTGCCCTGAATTAACAATACATGGAGAGTCTATGTTTGCAGCCTATAAAATGATTACAAATGCTTGACACAGAAATAGCATTTTTTGAAGCAAAAAAATAAGAAAAGAACTTAAATGATAGCCATCTCTAAGATAAAAAAGGTAGGTGTATACAGTTAGGTACCATATGCTGAAGTAAAAATAAATTCTATCCCTGTCTACTTGATAAATTCAGATGTAAATGTACAAGAAGAGAGTGAATTTAATATCATTGGCATAGATTCGTGCCATTCTTTACAAATTCATATTTTGTGTAGAGGTGCATTCCTAAGTTTAAAAATTATAAGACATATCAAAGTAGTATAAAAGCAGAAATATTTATTGCTTCCAGAAGTCGGTTGGGGAAGTGACAGAGAGGCCATATAAGGACTTTTACATTGGAATGTGTGTGAAACTTAACCTGAATACAGAAATATTGGTGTGTTTAAGATGAGTTTTATTTCTTTCTCTCTACCTGTCTGTATTACTTGTGTACTTGTATGTATTATTTGTGTGTCTTCTGTGAGTTGGTTGATTCATTGGAAATCGCTGCTATGTAAAATTTTGAATCTATAGCACCAGTGACTATAGGATTTAATCTAATATTTATTTTTCAATTAAACATTTAAAATGTTAAAAATAAAACATACTTATAAAAACATGCTTAATTATTTATAATATATGTTACTGTTGCAATAAAGTAGTTATACAATAATCATAGTTTTTGAAATAGCAGATAAAATCTTCCCTGCAATTGCAGATAAAATCTCTCTGTTTGTTACAGTTGTGTTGGGGCGTTGCTTCCCCAAGACATACTGGCACTCATTCCATTTTTCCATAATGAATTTTACCGCATCACTCCTCACCTCCTGCTGTCTTCCTCTCCCTCAATAGAACGCTCCTCAGCAAGTGCCTCCTGCTGCTCTCTATGGAGTTCAGCAAGTTCTTCCATCCTCAGCTCCTCCTTATGGTCCTCAACGAGCTCCTCTGTCTGCACCGTTGATGCCCAGACCCATACTCCTGCCCGTGGACACAATCTCCTCCACCACCTGTGCATCAGGCCCTTTAAAGTCATGTTCAGTGACACATTCTGGCCACAGCTTCCTCCAGGCTGAGTTTAAGGCCTGGTAGGTGATGTCTTCCCAGGCTTTGTCAATGAGCTTGCTATAGTGGAGGACATTGAAGTGTTACTTCCAGAACTTTCAAAATCATGGATTGCAGAAGAAGCATCATGTTGTGGGGAAGGAATTTGATGTTTATGAGGTCATACTCAGTATTGATGTCATCCACCAAGGCTGGAGGGTGTGCTGGGGTTTTGTCCACCAGAAGAACGCACCTTTCAGGCAGTTGATTATCAGAAAAAAAGTATTCCTTTATAGTGGTGCAAACATTTCAAGCAGTCATTCCATGCACAATTGCCTTGTGATCCAAGCATTTGCACTGACCACCCCCCCGCATGACAGACAGTCTGGCTTTGTTCACATTTTGTTTCTTGAATGCATGAGGGGTCTAGCAAGAGTGCACCTGTGGTGGCTTAATCTTCATATAAGTGCTTGCATTCCCACAGAGAAAAAGGTTCGACCTTTCTTCATGGGTTTGTGCCCTGGCAGTGCCTTTTCCTCCAGTATGATATAGGTAGTTTGGCATTCTCTCCCCGAAAAGCCCCATTTCATCACAGCTGAACACTTGTGGGTGAGGTAGCCTTCTGTCTTCACGACTTCTGCAAAATCTTTCTAGTAGACTTCTACAGCACACCTTTCAGAACTGGAAGCCTCACCGTTTCTTTTCACACAGTGGAGGCCACTTCTCTTTCAGAATTTATCAATCCACTGTCTACTGGCTTTAAATTCACCATTTGTTGCACTTGTAGAGGGGTTTCTTGCAGTAACTCACTGTGCAATTGCCTGGCTTTTCCACAATTGATAGCTTCGCTAACGCTTCCACCCGTCAGCAGTTTCTCACTCCACCACGCTCAAAAAAGTTTTCCCCAACTTCCAGCTTTTGTGTCCTCTGCTTGGTTATCATTGTTGCTTCTTTTGCTACATCAGCTCTTTTGTTGGCGTCATTTATTTTTCAAAACAGTGGAGATTGTTGCCTTTCCCTCCTTGTACTCTGAGATCAGAGCAGTCACAAAAATACCACTCCAATGCTTTTCTACAGTTTTCTTCTTTAATACAATGGTTGTTTTCTTCAAAACCTTTTTACCGTTCTTGCTCTGTACTTTCTTGTTCCTTTCATTATTGCTCTGCACTTTCTTGTCACTCATATTACTGCTCTGCATGTTCTGGTCACCTTCATTATCTCTCTGTACTTTCTTTTTACCACCGTGCTTGCTCTGTGCTTTCTTTGGAGCCATGCTGGATTCAGTAATACGGTACAGCACTGTATTGCTAAAAAGCACACAAAAACTTCACAGCAAGGGTGCATAGGTCTGTCTTCTACTGTGCTCTTGACAAGAGTAGACTACAGCCATGTGTCAGATCAGGGACAATGGCTGTGTTCGTGTTTGGGTGGAGATATTCATTCCCTGATGTAGAGCTCAAAAACAGAAAGAAAATTTGCCTAATGCTTCTACTCGCTAACCAATTTGTTTGTGAACAGAAGTATTCATAAACTGAGGAATTGCTGTACTTTCAATTTTGAAAACTAATTCAAGGTTTATATACTAAATTATTCATATTACGTATTTTTATTGTGTTCTGCTTTCTCTATTTTTTTCTCTATTTTTCTAAAGAAAGAATTCATTTTCTTTCCTTTTCTACTTCCTAGTGGCTCCCTACTTCTTCTGCTCATCTTCCTCTGCTTCCATCTTTAAAGCCAGCCATCTGCACATGACCAGGACTCCTCCACTGAATAGCTGCTTTCCCCCTGTGTCTTCCCAGGGTCGTTCCGTGGGTGTGTGCTCAGGAAAATACATAAAAGTATTCATGTGATTTATAGCTGTAAATATCATCTTATCAATATTTTCATGCTTAATAGTCACAGAAATGAAATGATTTATTTTCTACATGACTTGAGCACTAATTTCATAGTGAATACTTTGGGGAAATATAATTAATAGAACTTTAGTTGATTATTGTTCTGTTGTGTGATGTATGCTCACAGAATGTTCACAAGAAAAAGGCTATTAGCAACTAGTATCACAAATATTGAAGGTATTTTTTAACAAATTGAGTTATATTCCATATTGATGCAAAAAGTCTTTATTGAAAACCACATGAAATACACAGAATTGTTTTCAAAATTATATATGTGCAAAGTTTAAAAGGGAAATCATAAGAAAAGTTATTTTCTCTGTAAAACTAACGTGAAAAATATTTAGTTGGTATATAGGGTTGCAGAGGTGTGTCCTTATAGATATATTACAAATAAAGTGTACATTGTCAAAAATCAAAAAGACTTATTTTCTTTTTTTGTACTTTTATCTTTCTTAAGGATTTAACACTGTCATAACCATTGCTTTCCCATGCTATAAAAACCTTCTACTTACATGATCTGGTATATACTTTCAAAAGTGTAATTTACTGAAATAGTATACATAATAAATTCTTAAATGGTATATTATTAACATTATAACTACTAGTGTCAGAGCTTTTCACCAAACCTGAGAGGATTTTACTACGCTATATTTATAAATAATATAATTGAATGCTTCATAATAATGATTATTAAAATATTTTGAGGTGTATTGGTTTCCATTGCTGCTCTAACTCACCATAAATTTCATGCCTCAGGGTGCAAATTTATTGTCTTAAAATGGTTCTAAATATTTTGAAGTTCAACATGATTTACAGTGGACTAAAAGCACAGTGTTGTCAGTGATGCATTTCTTTCTGGAATTTCAGGGAAGAATTCATTTTCTTTGCTTTTCCACTTCCTAGTGGCTTCCCACTTTCTCTGTTCATCTTCCTCTGCTTCCTTCCTTAAAGCAGCCATCTGCACACAACCGGGGCTTCTCCATCAAATGGCTGCTTTCCACCTGTGTCTTCCCAGGGTCATTCCATAAGGTGTGTGCTCAGGAAAAGTGAAGCCTCTCTCCTTTTCTTGTGGTTATCAATCTTATGGTAGGAGGACCTCACCCTATAACCTCACTTAACTTTATTTCTGAAAAGTCTTGTCTACATAAATAGAATCACAGCAGAGTTAAGGTTTACACTACATAAAGTTTGAGTCAATGAAATTCAGACCATAGCTATGGTTTAGATGTAAAATGTTCCCCCTAAAACTCATGTATTCAGAGGGACTTTTTGGAAGCGATTGGACCACTGAGCCCTATACCTAAATGTATTAATCCTCTGCTGAGTTCATAGTTAAGTGTAGTGTAAGGAGGAGGGGCCTAGCTGGAGGTGGGTCACTGTGGGATATTCTGGAAGAGGGTATTCTTGTCTCTGGCTCCTCTTTTCTCTCCCTGCTTCCTGGGAGCCATAGGTTGAGCTGCTTTCCTCTGCCATACCCTTCTACCATGTTGTTTGTACTTTGGAGCCAATCAAGCATGAACTGAACCCTCTAGAACCTGTGAATCAAATGAACCTCTCCCCTTTAATTTGTAGGTGCCCAGTATTTTGCCCAGCAATGGGAAGGCAGACTATTGCAGTAGCATATCTTTAACTCCATCTGCTACTTTAATTTCCTCTTATTATGTTTTCTAACATCATCTCCAGTTCTGGAAATTATGATGTAGGCATCTTTGCC